AAGCCTCCCAGATCTCCAGATGCATTTGAGATATCAAAAAAGTACTCCAGAGTGTTGTTCAGCATGGGGGCGAGTAGAAAATGAAGGCTAATCATGTTTTGGGTGTACTATTCCTTTAACAGGAAGAAACCTTCAACAGAACCAGGCTCAGTGCCAGCAACCATCTGCCGAGGCCAACTGGGGTTCAGGAAGACCGAAGCAGACATTCAAAAAAAACAAAAAAAAAACACTAATCCATAAATACTTTTTATGATAGAACAGGTAATAGAGAGAGCATAAAGTTAAAGATTGAACTAACAAATACTGCATACAGGGAGAATAGAGATAGAATGAAGCAGAATGAGGAAAACAGGTCCCCATGTCCTCCGGCAGTCTAAGCCTAAAGTAGCATAACTATAGAGATAGCTCAGGATAAGCTGAGCCACTCTAACTATAAGCTTTGTTAAAGAAGAAAACTTTAAGCTTAGCCTTAAAATTAGAGATATCTTCATATGCTATAATAGTCCAACTGGAAAATGTTCAATTATCTCTTTAGATTTTTATCTGGACTTTGACAAAGACGATCGGACAATCGGACACATGACTGCTTTGATCTAGGCTGCTCTGGTTGAATCAATCTGCAATGTTTCCAAGCCCCCTGTCCTCATGTCTTTTATTGTTTTTCTATAAACAAACTCCTCCCACAGATTGTCTTTGTACTCTTAGTTTTATCTCTGTTTTTTTGAAGCTGTTATGTCACATATTAATAAAGGTATAGAGAATGGGGAGAGTATGAAATAAAAAGTATAGATATTAGTGTTTAAATGTAGGGAGTAAAAGTAAAAAGTTCTTAGAAAAATAAACACTCAAGTAAGGATTAAATAAGCCGTCTGACTTATACACGTTTCATTTCCAAGAATCAAAGGATCAGTTAAAATCAAATGAACTAAATAGATGGCAGAACTTCTCTAGTCTAGAAAAAAAAAAAACAGAATAAAGCTTTCAAACCCTTGCAGCTCTCCAGTTGGACTGCTTTCTAAGGAACAGCCTGAAAAACAACCTGCGCTCACAATAAACAACAGAGTTAGAGCCTCTAATACATCCAGAGGTTACTCCTGTTCTTCGTAAAGCCCTTTCCCAGCATTACCGGCCTGAACCCAAGCTTTGCTTTCAGCTCACGACATTCGCATTTAAAACACCAGTTTGAGGAGCAGAAAAACTCTCCGTCCTGCTGTAGACGTTCAAGGCAAACCTGTTTAATAGCAGTTACACAAAAGGCGATGACTTTAGGTTTTATTTGATGCTTTCATCCCGGATCCAAAAAAGGCCCAACGCCTCAATCACAACAAACTCTGGCTGTTTCACCAGAGGTGTAAAGAATCGACACAGCAGCATCTATATACATATACATATATATACATATACATATACATATATAT